AGAGCCACGCACATCGAAATACGAGTCATTTTGTTACTTACTGTTAATTGTGCGACAAATACTTTCTTTTGTATTTTGACTATAACATTATTCTAAATTTGAAAACTTAGTGGAAAATGTTTTTAAATTCTCAGAATTAAAAAAATGATTTTGACAATCTTTTAAAAATGCAACAAAAAAAGAGAAGTAAATGGATTTCTAAAAATGAATTAGGAATAATGTTACTAATTTAATAATTAATAACTTTTGAAACAGATTCTTGTAAAGTAACAGCTGTCAGTTCATCCCTTGTACTAACTGCCACGTCTCAAGGCAAAGACTAATCATTTGACTTCATTTCTAGCTTAACAAGCGCACACGTTTATTCTGAGCTGAAAACAGACCAGCACCAAGCACCATGTGTGAAGTTTAGTTTTTAACATAATGCAGTTTGACGTCAGGCTTCTCGAACAGTCGAACAATCGCTGCACCCACAGGAGCTACACCTGCTAAAAATCCAGATAATCAACCTGTTTTTCATAACAGGAAAAACCGAATTTGATTTCTTATTCATTTATTTTTCTCTTTCATCTTTGGGATTATTTGGATCTGACAAGTATAAAAATTTAGCATCAACTTTGAACAGAAAGTCATTTTGAAAAAGTTCTCGTTGTGATGTTGTACCAGGAAGTTGGTCACCCTCTGACAGATCAAACGTCACAAAATGCCACCCGTCTTACTCCAAGTTGGTTCTGTTTCAGGAATTTGCAGGATCAGTTCTGCAGGACGGGGATGGAAGCTCCCATCATTGATCATCCACCTGAGGTTTGGGCATTTATTGTTTTGTCTATTTTATCTCGCCCTGTTCGTCCACAGGTGCAGGGCCGGGCCTCCGTTTCTCCACTGCAGTGCTCAGTGTCTGTGCTGAGCATTCACAGTCTGAACACAGATTTGGAAAATATCATCTTTAATTCTAATTTTGCAAATATTTTCTAAAGGAGGTTTTCATCTTGCCCAAGGATATTTATCACATACACAGGAACAGACAGGGATCGAACCATCAACCTTCTGATTAGTAGGTGACCTCTGGCACCTGAGCCGTGGTCCTCACCCAGAAACAGGAGGGGTACCCAGTCTGGGTCATGGACGAGTTCCGGCCCAAGTTGAGGAGTTTAAGTATCTCGTGGTTGTTCACAAGTGAGGAGAGAGAGGAGCGGGAGACCGACAGACGGAGTGGTGCTGCAGCTGCAGTCTCTACCCTCACCTATCATGAGCTTTGGGTAGTGACCAAAACAACAATATTAAAGATAACAGCGGCGGAAGCTTCCTCCGAAGGCCGGCTGGCCTCTCCCTTAGAGACAGGGTGAGGAGTTCAGCCTTCCGGGAGGGGCTCAGAGTAGAGCTGCTGCTCCTCCACATCGAAAGGAGCCAGCTGAGGTGACAAGGATGCGTCCTGGGCGGGACAGACCCAGGACACGCTGGAGGAGGTGGCTGGGAGAGGGAGATCTGGGCTCTCTGCTTAGGCTGCTGCCCCCACAACCACGTTCGGGATAAGCGGAAGAGGGATGGATGATACTGGAAGGTTATTTGGGCCGAAATGTTGTGACTCAATAAAAACAGATTCTAACTATTAGATAAAAACAGATCTTGGTCCGATGCGCCTGTCATTCATTCGGGTGTGCAGAGATTTTCAAACCACTGTCTGATATTTAATAAGACTTTAAATTAGCGACTGAAACCATAAACTTATCAGGAAGAATGTTAACTAACATCATCCATTAAATGGGTGCTGGGTAGAGTTGGGCGATAGAACGATAACGATACGTATTGCAAAATAACTTTTTCTCAATAGAAAAGTTAAATATTGCGATAGACCTCATCTCTCTTGTCCTCTTAAAAAAAAAAAAAGAAGAAGAAGAACATCCAATCCAAATTAACTAGCGCAGAGCCGAACCAATCACAGCCGGAGCGTCATGTCACGTGACTTGTTACGTACAGCACAAGTGCCAAGCCGCACATGTGTATTTGGGAAGCAGCCAGCCGCCGTGCCGCCCGGGTAATGGAGGAAATGAGTGTGCCGACTAGAGAAAAATCCACCGAGAGCGTGACCGAAGGTTACCGAAGAGAAAACAGATGACGGCTCAAACGCCGGAGAGATTGTCGAACGGAAGAGCCACAGAAGCTCCGTAGTGTGAAGGTATTTCGGCTATTTCAAGTCGAACAAAAAACAGTAGCGTGCACTGTAAAGCAGGTCTGGAAATACAATAAAGCGGTGCAGCTCAGTCTCTGACTGGAAGCGCTGATTCGTCATTCGGCTTTTG